GCCCGATCAGAGCAAGAAGTTTTTCCCAATTCGACTATAATTTTGGTCCAATTGGGGCCCAATTAGCGATTTGCCCAATCTACCGAAGATTTCCCCAACCAGTGCTCGCAATTTGCTCAAAGTGAACATGCATACGCAATTAAAACTTTTTTGTCGATAAAATCACACATACGCACATCAAAATTACCTACGAAAAAACAAATTTTTTAATTTTTTTCTTGAAAAATATGCCACATACAAATTTTTTTATTAAAAAAAATTAGTTTTTGAAAATATGCCATTTCAAAAAAAATTTAAAAAAATCACAATGGTAGCTCTGAGTATTGCCCATTATTTAAGTATAATGTTATGGGGTGCACTCTACAATAATTTGAGTTATGCATTTTTTTTACACCCAAGTTGAGTAAAATGAGTACATTACCAATTAAAAAAATTTTTAAACTTTTTTAGAATTTTTTTTAATATGCAGTTTTCTAGCCCATTAAATTTGAGTATAAAAAAGTGCAAGTGTTAACCGATTGCAAAACTGCCGTTATTTTTTATTAATTTTTTTCCTTTGAGCAAATTGTGAGCACTGGTTGGGGAAATCTTGATAGATTGGGCAAATCGCTAATTGGGCCCCAATTGGGCCAAAATTAGAGTGGAATTGGGAAAAACTTTTTGCTCTGATCGGGCAACCTCAAAACATTTCCAGCAAGGAAACTTTATCATAATGGGCAACACATTTTGTGCTCTCAACTGGCACGAAAATCTGCTAGCATCATATAAGTGCATTTTCAGAAAAAAAATCATAAATCGAAAACGACGAATTTTAGCATATTGCTACTCGTACTGAAAATAGTTTATACTATTCCCTAAGAGACAAAAAAGTTTGAGAGAAAAAAAGATGTGGCAATTTGAAAAAAAAATCAATTTGAAAAAAAAAATTTTTGTTTATAAACAATAGGTAATTATTCATTAGATTCAGTAGATCAATATCTGCAATTTAAAAAAAAAAACGTTAAAAAGCTTGCTTTTTTGCGGCAGTTATAAACGATTTCATCAAAAGTTGCTTTAAGAGAGGAAAAAATAAGCGTTCGTACTCAAAAAGAAAAAAATTCATTATTCGAAAAATTCGCATTTCTGAGCAAAAAGAAAAAATACATGTCTCCTTAAATTGTTTAAAGAACAATCCCTGTGAGTATTATCGCAAACTTAAATTCACTTTCCCCTGGCCTGGGTGATTTGAGATGGAATGATCCACATACATGTCAATACATTAGACTGATTAAAAAAAAACGATTTTTCGAAATTCGTGTGCAATGCATCAAAATCCTTGACAGCATCAAGAAAAAATATGATGCTGAAAATTTGATAGAAATCGGTGGTCGTTTAGGGGTTGCTCAACGCGATTTTCAATTTTTACCAAGTCGTGCACCTGAAATACATCTTCGTCAAAAATATCGTTTCTTTACCACAAATATTGAGCTAAATGTCTGAAATTTCGCACACACCATGAAATCGACTAATGTAAAATTTTGCTAAAAAATTGTTCACGTTAATAAATGATTAATGGCTAACTGGCGAAAATTACTTAGTCGATAACTAATGATCCCAATAACTCTTTGAGCTGAAAATTGAGAAGAACCTATAGCACACCTTCAGAAAGTATAATACAACAACAAAAACATCCGCACTCATAATTTGTTAGAGTTGAACAACTTTTTTAACTTTTGGGGCTATGTGGGTGGGTTAAGATCTGTCCAATTAACGTTTAATAACGGCTAACACTGTCACATGAAACCCGGAAGGGAATAACACAAAGCAACCCGGATGGGACGATCACATTGAAATGAATAAAATAAAATAAAAAAAGAACAACAGTTAGTTCAAAAAAGCGTTCAAAAGAAATTTTTTCTACGTGCTGCTTTTTGTAGAAGATGTGGCTGGTCGGAAAGGAAAGTGGATCTATTCCAAGGAGTAAACTACCCCCCAAAAGTCAAGTCCTCGCTTTGTTTGTATTTTACCGTAACATCATAAAGCAACACATTAAAGAGAGTGCGGCTAACACTGCCCATGAAATTATTCTTGTAAGTATATTCCAAATTGGGCATCGCTACCACACCAAAAAATTGCTAAATAAAAAATATTCTCAAACTTTGGAAGAATTGGTGTTTGGTGAAGAAAAATAGGCCCAGAAAGACGGTGACCGAAGAAAAAAAAGGATGCATTTGAAGAAGATTTGAAAACTCTCTTTCAGGTAATACATTCTTTATTTTTAACAGCTAGCGAGAACAGGAAAAAGTTCAAAGATGTTAGAAAAAGTACAGTTATGAAGATTATTCCCATAATAATTTTTGCTACAAGTATCTGCAGTTGCTTATACATAATTATCATTAGGGGTATTCTCTGAGTCTTGCAAAGCCCTTGCACGGTGCACGGATTGCACGGTTTGCAAAGCTGTCCCATACGAAAACCGGTTTTAACCGTGCAATCCGTGCAATCTGTGCACCATGCAAGGGCTTTGCAAGACTCAGAGAATACCCCTATTATTTGCCCATTCTCTGACATTCCGTTGGAATTGGTAATTGCTGTTACCATTCCACTTTTTCTTTCAAATTAAAAATGGTTTATGTATGTTTTGAAACCTTCATTGTATAACTTTTTATGGGTTATAGCGATTATTGCAAAAAAAAATTATATAACCGATATAAAGTCGATACATTAACGTTTATTTCGATTACATAACATAAAGCATTATACCACTTTTCGAGCTGGATTAAAATAAATTCCACCATGCGTAAGAATCTAAGCAAAAGGTGGAACAGATTTTAACCCAACTAACCCCAGAAGGTAAATAAGTTGTTTAACTCTAACAAATTATGAGTGCGGATGTTCTTGTTGTTGTATTATACTTTCTGAAGGTGTGCTATAGCTTCTTCTCAATATTCAGCTCAAAAAGTTATTGGGATCATTAGTTATCGACTAACTAATTTTCGCTAGTTAGCCATTAATTATTTATTAACATGAACAATTTTTTTAGCAAAATTTTACATTAGTCGATTTCATGGTCTTTAACAATGGCATATGCGAAATTTCAGACATTTAGCTCAATATTTGCGGTAATGGACGAAATTTTTGACGAAGATGTATTTCAGGTGCACGACTTGGTAAAAATTTAAAATCGCGTTGAGCAACCCCTAAACGATGACCGATTTCTCTCAAATGTTCAGCATCATGTTTTTTCTTGATGCTTTCAAAGATTTTGATGCATCGCACACAAATTTCGAAAAATCGTTTTTTTTTTAATCAGTCTAATATACATTTTAAAGGTGGATTCACCGTTCGTTTCCGGACACTTTTAACCAGTAATGTTACGCGTTCCTTTCCCACTTTGTCTCACTGAGAGCTCGACAAAAATGTGCTGAACACTCTTTGCTCGAATTAAATTAATTTTGATTTTCTGTCCGAACGACTTGAAGTTTCGGGTCGCCGCATTCTCCTTTATATGCGTTTGCCGCGAATTGCGTGTGTTATTTGCCCTCAAAATCGTATGCAGGCAACAATATCATTAGCTGTTTGCTTCAGAACAAAATAAAATGTGCCGAACCGGTGAACCGTACTTCAGCACCCTCTCCGGCAAAAATGTTTTGCGAGCATATAAAAGATTGTCCGGACCCGAATGGTGAACCCGCCTTAAATTTTGTGAAAACTGACAGTTTTTAGAATTCAGTAGCGGCGAACACATAGGGGGGTTAAGGGGTTAAACCTTACCCCAACCGGTCGTAAAACTTTATTTCACGTACAAGGAAATTGCGAATGATTATTTATTATCTATAAGGGAACGTACTCATACTACGTGACCCACTTATTTCAAGTTAGAGGAGATTCCTTATTGTTGTCATTTTAATTTTCTTATTCAGTAAAAACCATACTCTATTATACATATTAGCTAGTCTTTGCTCTTTGTGGAACTGTATTGATGTTGCAAACAACTTCTTACTGATGTACTTGAAATGCGCGAGCACCCTGCAGAATTGTTTAGTTGCATTTTTTAACAGTAAAATCAAACAGCGTAATTCACCAAAAAAATATATTTGACTTCATTTTCTCAACTTTACATAATGTGGAAAACCTAAGAAATATAATAAAATACGATATATTAAAACAGCCTCCATAATCGTCTACAGGAGACGCCCCTGATCTACACAAATCAGTTTGATTGCAGATTTGTTTTTTTTTTATTTTGTTTATACTTAACTTTTTGATGTGTCAAAATTACATGTGAAAACAACATGTGTTGCTGGAAAATCTCACGGCTGTGAACAGAGTATCACAGCGCACGGCATGCGCGCGAGTGACGAAAGCGCCACAGTAGCATGCTGAAATGACTCGCTTATATATACACGAGATTTGGAAGTTTTTATCCAGACGTCCAATCGGCATGATGTATCATTGTAAAGTAGAGCTGTAAAAGTAACGAAATTTCGGATACCCGTATGTATTCGTTACTAATCCAATCAACACCCGTATCTTTCGTATCGTTACTTTACTCGTTAATTTTGATACAAGCACTTGTACCTCACAAGAATCATCGCAGCAAATCTTGCAGCGGAAGGAAATGTTCGTTCTTCCATATGCATACATGTACATACATACATATATACATACAGGCTGCGTTTCCTTATACATTCCGGATAATCCCATTTCACAGAGGAATAAACATGATTCGTTTGAAATATACGTCAACATATCAGGAACGTTCTAAACAATAAATAAACAAAAAAGTTTATTCCAAACGTTCAGAATGAATAAAGAAATGCAGCCACAATCAAGCACTTGTACCTCACAGGAATAATGCATCATGTACATACGTACATATACAGGCAACACACTTTAGTATCGATACGAAAAACAGTTTCGTTACCGCACAATATGTTGTGTTGTATTGATTCTCGTTGATGGTACATATACATAAAATGCGAGTAACGAGACGAATCTCGCAACGTAAAACGGCGTTTCCACTACAAGCGAATCACGTGTTTCGCTCTCTCAACTACGAACGGCGAATCAACGTGTTTACACGACACATTCGTGTTTCACTTGGCATCTCTGTTTCTTGTTCTTGTTCCTTTCATTTATTTATTGTTTACTGCTGTGAATTTCAACGATGGAGAAAAAATGTAAGATTTTACTTTATACAATTGAAAATTGTGTGGATTTATTGATTTAATCTTCCAGTAAATAGAAAAGGTGCCAGTAATTGGGAAGAGGTCAGCGAAAGGGCGCTTATAGAGGTATGGAGCGAAAGGATTGTAGAATTGCGTGGTTGTCGGAAAAATAGCCACATACTCTTGGAAATGGCGCAAGATTTGGAAAGACAAGGATATGTGTACTCAGTGGTGGAGCTTAAGAACAAGATGCATAACTTGACGACACGGTACCGGTAAATATTTATGATTTGTGTTGTGGTTCTAAATATCTTTTTTTTGGATTAAGGAACTACAAAGTAGCTCAGGGAAATGTTTAGTTATTTGCCCACTGTTTTTGGGTTAGTGTGCGGAAAGAGAGGCGGCGTCTTCCTTTATATCCATCCCACTAGAAAGAGCACAATTCAAACTAAAAATTAGCGTTTTCTAAAATTAGCATTTTGACACCGGAAATATAAACTCGGCTAAAAGATTTTTCTGTGCAGAACACCTTTTCATGTTAGCGGAGGGGCCGGAAGCCCCTCTTCTATTGTCAAAGCTACACAATATTTATTTGTCATCTATTGAACATATACATATAACTCCGGCTAGGCAATCCACAATATTTTTGCGTAGAACTTATCACGAATCCACGGATGATTATAAAAATCAAATCGCAAATTGATATTAAATTTTTTATTGTATTTTTTATCTTCCACAGAAAGGAGAAACAAAAGGTAGGACCAACAGGCGGTTCACCCTCGACCTGGAATCTTTTTCAAGAAATGCAATCCTTATTGGCTCCATATAAAAGTTATCACACAGAAGGTCTGTTGGTCGACAGTGTAAATAGTATGTATATAGATAATTTATTCATAAATATTTACCGGTACCGTGCATACATAATTTATTAAATTTATTTACATATTTATTTTTTAAGACATAAACTCCCAGTCGTTGTGTTCAATCCCGGGTTCACCATTGCCTTCACCATCAGCGTATTCTGCTTCACCGCTGCCATCGCCATCAATTGCTGCAACTTCGCCGCTGCCATCACCATCCATTCCTATAACTTCTCCGCTGCCATCACCATCCATACCTGTAATTTCGCCGGTGCCATCACCACCCATAACTATAGCTTCGCCGCTGCCATCGCCAAATATGTCGGAAGATTCACCGGCACCATCGACTTCCGCTAGAGCTAGAAGAAAAGAGGAATTAGCTAATTTATTCAAAAGGGTGGAGAGGAATATTGAAACAATTCAAAAAGATATAAAATCTACGTCGGAAAAGTTTGTTTCTATTGAAGAGGAGAAAAAAGAAATTTTAAAATCGTATGTGAAGAATGAAGCTGAGGTGCAAAAGGCACTAATAGAGTTTCTGAAAAGGCCATAAGTTTCAGAAAATGGAATGAAAACAGTACATTGAAGAGTACAGTCAGAGTTAAAAGTTAGTACATATGTATACACCTTATTCTATTATAATATTCAAAGTGTTTTTGATGAAAAAAGTTTTTCAATCATTTTTTGTTAAAATTTTCAAGATTTCAGAATTTTTAAAAACTTTTGAGGTATGCAATAAGAAAGTGCAGGTTCCAAGTGCCTGAAAATTTCCGTTCATTTTAAATAATTTTTGTGTAAACCGTATAGCGTATTTCCTTCCATACAAAAATACATATTGCATGTACGCTCTCTCCATTATATCTGCGTACACCCTTGTTTTTTTAAACATTCACAATGTTTTGCAAGCTATAATTTTTTTGTTATTTTTTTACAAAAATATGGTTCATGCCTCAAACAAAACCATATAACTCAAAGCTACAAAGTGCATACAAAATTAAGAAATATTTAATGAATTTTCATCGAAATTTTAAACTTTTTACTCAGCTTTTTTAAGAAAATTTCTGGTATGCAGTTTTATAGCCCATTGAATTTTAGTACAATAAAGTGCAAGTTTCAAGTGGCTAGAAAATACCGTTGATTTTTTGACAATTTTTTTGTTGACATGCTAGGCATTCTCTTCCATATAAAAAAAAATTCGCTCTTACCTTGTATGGAGAAAATTCCTACAGCCGTCAGCAAAAAAAAATTATTAAAAATCAACGGTATTTTCTAGCCATTTGAAACTTCCACTTTATAATACTAATAATAATAAAAAATTGCATACCAGAAATTTTCTTAAAAAAGCAGAGTAAAAGTTTAAAATTTCGATGAAAATTCATTAATTTTTTCTTAATTTTGTATGCACTTTGTAGCTTTGAGTTATATGGTTTTGTTTGAGGCATGAACCATATTTTTGTAAAAAAATAACAAAAAAATTATAGCTTGCAAAACATTGTGAATGTTTAAAAAAACAAGGGTGTACGCAGATATAATGGAGCGAGTGTACGTTATAGTAAGCAATAAAATTATTTAAAATGAACGGAAATTTTCAGCTACTTGGGAACTTGCCTTTTATTTAATTGAAATTTAATGGGCTACAATACTACATACCCAAAAAGTCTAAAAATTCTGATTAGAAAGTTTGAAAAAATTATAATATATGTATTTGTTGAATTTTTGTGAACTTAATATAAGGTAAGAAACTTTGATTTACATGGTTCTAGTTATATAATGAACTATATTTTGATAAAAAATGCTTGAACAAATTTTTTCATGAAAAACATTGTGAATATTATATTAGAACAAAGGGTATGCTAGCTTTTAACTCTGACTATATGTAGTTTGAGTTTGAAACTTATAATAAATAAGTGTAAAATTTAACACAGAATGCATTACAAATATTAAAAAAAAAAATTAACATATACTCAATTTTGTAAGTAACTACACATTACTTTTATTTTCGTAAGTTTATTTTTGTATGCTTCCCTGAAGGAACGATTTTAATTTTTAACTTATAGCGAAAAATGTGTAATACATGAAATTTATAATAAATAAATGTAAACTTACACAAATAAGAAGAAATAGCGTTTCTTATACTTTCTGGATTGTTTCGTTGTTCCGCTAGTACCGCTACATATTCAGGATACGCGCGGTTTGCTTCCACAACTTGTAAAGCTTGCATCCACTTTTCATTTATTTTATCATTATTTTCGTTTAAAAAATTGTGAAGCACGCAGCACGATAATATTATGGCGTTTGCATTTTTTATGGAATTATCTATTCCTTTGCCAATACCCTGAAACGAGCCTTCAAGTGTCCAAATGCGTTTTCTACTACTCTGCGAGATTTAGATAATCTGTAGTTGAAGAGCTTTTGTTGGCGGCTTTGTGAAATATGAAACGGATACGGCTTCATTAGCTTGTCACTTAACCGAAATGCCGAGTCCCCAATTATAAAAACCGGTACATCAACATCGGAAATAGTTTTTTTCAATTCGCTTAAAAGGACACATTCATCCAATTGTTGCTTTAGAGAAGATGTCTGAAAAATTTGAGAATCGTTGCAGCGTCCTGGGCTGCCGGAGCTAACATATATAAAACGACATCTGGAAAAAACAATAAATAAATAAATAAATAAATAAGGAACTATTGAAGCCTTTCAGTGCTTCTACCTGGCGTCCACCAATGCTAGCAGTACGATTGAATACCATCCCTTATAGTTGTGGTAGTCTGTAGCGTCTTCCTTGGGTGGGTGAATCTCAATATGACATCCATCTATTAACGATTTCATTTAGTAAAAATAAAACAATATTTACTTCATAAAAAGGTGCTTACCAAGTGCTCCCATACATTGGGGAAATCCATATGTTTCAAACTCTTGCACCAAGCCTTTAATTTCTGTCTTCTGTCAACGGAAAGTTTTTTAAATATATTGGAGCCAAAACTCTCCAGACCTCATTGCAAAAATCCAATAATATTTTGCATACGGTTGCCTTTCCCACGCCAAACATATTTGCGATTGTGCGATACTCGGAAGATGACCCTAGAGCATATAGAGCTATAGCAACTCGTTTTTCCAATGGTATCGCTTCTCGCATATTTGTATCACTTTTTCGCAGATCTGGCAGTAGTTCGCATAATTTATAAAAAAGTTGTCGGCTAATTCTGAAGTTGTTTTTAAAAAAAACTTCATCTCCTTTCTGACAATCTTTCTCAAAGAAGGATTGAGTTCGTTCCTACAAAAATATAAACACTTATCCATAAAAATTGGTTCAAGCACATCCAGTTTTTACAAATACTTACTTTTTTCCAAATTAATCTTCTTTCGGAGCCAAGTGATTCGTTCAAAGCATACAAAAGATCCAATTCCTCCAAAAGCAGCAAATGCTTATCCTGGAGATGCCGTAATACTGCGGAACATACTTTTGCCTCTTCACTCACCCTAGTTGTGGCCAACAACCTCCTCGACATAATTATTTTCTTCACCATTTGAACTTTTGCATCCATTTTATCTTTAATTGTTTATTCTTTATTTATTTTTCATGCTTTGTTTTGGCAGCTGTCTGTGTTTTGACATCTGTTTTCGATAAATTTCCGATAAAAATTAGAGAAGACAACGATTTTTTCATGATTCGTATGGTGATTGGATCTGAATCACCTAGGAATGAAGTGATTCGCTCTCAAAATTTTGTATGGCGAATTACGTGATTCGGTTCATGATTGGGGCGCCAATCACGAATAAGAGAGCGAATCAAGAATAGGAGAGCGAATCACTTGCCGTGGAGACATCGTTTAAAGAAATGTTCGTTCGTACAATGTACATATATACATATGTACACGCAACATTTTCTTGTATCGATTCGAACAATTTGATACAATGNACTTCCCCAGTGATGGAAAAGTAGGCACAATAGTGCCATTTTTTGCCCTTACATTCTTAGAGGCACTTTTGGTACAATTCATCCTGTTTTGGCACTATCATAAAATATAGAAGTTAAGCATAAAATGCCAATATATAACAAAAAATTACATACCACATTATAGATTAAAAAATTAGAAAAAGTGAAAATTAAAAGCACTTACAAATTAAAGTAAGGGCTGTAAGAAATATTTACAAATCGCTGAATTCTGTTGTGAATATGTAGTACGAAAATTAAGTTTTCGCCCCAACAAGCTTTTAATTCAGAATTACGGGAAAGATTCTAAGTTCGCAGTTTTATAGTTTATTAAATGAAAGTGGCAGTTTCTGCAATATCCCGATCATGTTTGATATTTTTTTCTGACGGTGTGATACATTTTGATCCGTTTAAAAAAATTTCGAACACACTTTATATGGAAAAAATGCATAACATCGAAAACTTGGAATCTCCCTAAAAATTCTGAATTCAAAGTATTTTGTTGCGAAAACCTGCCGAGTTTTTATAATTTTTGTACAAAGTTTGAAATGCCGATTTGTGTGCATTTATTGTGTTCATTAAATTAAGAATTATACTTTTATTTAAAATTAATTAAAAAATAATCAATGAAAATAATAGGCGAAACTGGTCAAAATATCTTACTGCCCTTACTTCGCAAATAGGTACATACGTATGAGTGTAAGAATGTCAGAATAGCTGTACTTCGGTGTATTTCCTTTCCGTAATTGGAATTCTTTTTACTATGAATTTATCTTTTATGTCTAATAGGCAACATAGACGGTGCGTCTGACTCGCAAGTCAACTGTGTACGTGTTCACTCGCCTTTCGACTACACACAGTTGAGTCATACCAGAGTCATGTCGGTGTAACTAACACATATTTACTTTTACTTAACACATCCAAACCGACTCGCGATTCAGACGCACCGTGTATGCCGCTTATAAAGAATCTCTCATAAAGGTGATTTACTGTAATAATTTAGTTAATTAAAAATTTTTATATTAAGAAATAATTCTTATTAAAGAAATTTAATTTTGTGGCACTTTCATATTCTTTTTGGCACAATTTTTAGACCTTTAGGCTCATTTTGAAATATTGAAATTCCATCCCTGCTTGTACCTCACACGAATCATGCATGCATGTACGTACATACACACGCAACACACTTCAGTATCGATACGAAAAACAGTTTCGTTACCGCACAATATGTACGCAACATAGTTTTGTATCGATTCGAACCATTTGATACANTACATTCTAAATTCCTACTTACATAAGGCGGCCATGCCTTTGTAAAAGTAAGGGACGTTCGGCAGGGAAATGGTAATGACTGCCAGGTGAAGAGTAAGTTGCTAATAAGGTATTATTACGTGCTCCTAATTCCCACTGGGAATTGTTTGGAAACGTCAAGAATTTTAAAAGTGACTCTCAGCGGTTCTTTTTATCATGCAATCAAGCACTTGTACCTCACACGAATCATGCATGCATGTACGTACATACACACGCAACACACTTTAGTATCGATACGAAAAACAGTTTCGTTACCGCACAATATGTTGTGTTGTATTGATTCACGATGATGGTGCATATACGGAACATGCGAGTAACGAGATTATTATGTGAGTAACGATTCGGTACTTCGAGTCAGGGGTTGTATTCGTTACTCAGTAACGAATACATACGGTTTGCTACAGCTCTATTGTAAAGGTCTTGTAGAGCCTGTTCAGAAAATGTATTCAAGTTTCGTAAACGAACATAAACAAAAGCCGTTTTTTTGCTTTTCCCGTTTTAAGGAGGTATGAGGCTACACCCAACATATTTAATGTTTTTATATAGGTCGATACCTTTCCAACGATACCTTATATATAGAGTTCCGGTTACTAGTTGGAAAGATATAGAGCTAAATTTATTTTGGTTCGTGTCTCCACTACGAGATGCTTTGCGATGTGTGTAGCGTCTGTACGTACCTTCACTTAATTTTTTTCAAACTTTCAGTAATTAAAGTATCAAAAAACTAGGAAGGTTTTGTTCCAGGATGTTTCGAATCGTATGCCTTTGTGGGCGTGACTGGTGCCTGAAATTCGAAAAAAGGCAGTGT